ATTTCTAAAAAATAAAAAATGCCTTTGTGGGGTGTAATATTTGTTTCTCTGTTAGCAAATTGGATATATCACCCCACTGTGTTGAGAAATGTGCCAATAGTCTTATGTGGGTTTCCATATATTGACAATTCTCTTACTTTTCACAGCTTTCAAGATTGTCTCTTCTTTGCTTTCTGACAATTTGGTTGTAATGCATGTTGAGGTACCCTTCAGATTGAGGTTTCTTAAAGTCCTTTGAACTTTATGGAGCTGGGTGTGCATATCCCTATCTGTCCAAAGAGTTGAGAATTTCAAGCCAATATTTCTTAAATTGAGCTTTCTTTTCCCTTTCTCTTTCTCTTCCCTTTCTGGGACTACTATAATTTGTATATTTATATATTAAGTAGTGCAGTATAACTCTCTTGGGCTTTTTTTTTCTCTTTTTCTCTCTTTTTTTGTAATTTGCCATGAGTATTCAATTATAAGGAACCATAAGACTCCACCCTTCAATGCCATAATCAGATTAAATCTCTACCATCTCAACACTGTTACAATGGCTCATGAAATTTCATTACATGAATTTTGAAGTAACACTTTCAAACCACAATATACTCTGTTTAGTTACTTTAGTAGTTGTTTTTAGGTTTATAATATGCAATTTTAACTTATCATAGCTACATGCATGTGACAATCTGTATACTATGTATATATGTATATATATAGTATATATACTAACAGTCAGCATCCATTTTTCCTCTTTGTACTTCTATGTATTGTTATTATACATTTTATTTCTACATATTTTATAAACACACCAAGTACTTTGTTCTTATTTTTGAAATAGGCTTCATGATTTTAAAGTTACTTAATTTCTGAAAGTATTCTTTCTCCCCACCCCCAATCTGAGTAATGGGAGAAATAATGGTCACAAAAATATCAATTTTAATAATGCAATGAGATTAGGTACATAAAATGTTCAAAAACAATTACTTATATGTAGTAAATTTCCTAAAACATGCTTATAAACATTATGATGAATTTTCTAAGTAAGATTTATCTGATGTATATGAGCTGTTATAAAACTGTTTTTTATTGAGTTACCTGGTAGTTCGGTAATTAAGGCAACAGAATCTCACATGCTGGACTGAGAAGTTCTTGTCCCAGAACAGTGCTTGAGGAACTGCCAGATGTGTTTGAATGCATGCCCCAAATCCTGGAAGTAAGAGAAATGGAGGGAAAAGGATTGTGGCTTTACCATACCCAATGGGGGGAGCTTTAAAACTTTCTCTTTCTCTTTCTAGCTCTCTCCAGAGACCACATGTCTTGTTTGCAAATATATATATATTTTTCTGAAGTCTTTCATGACTACATATATAGTTTTTGTCGTTGTTGTTGTTGTTCAAAAGACGGGAAGCCAAGTAAATTCCAGCGATGATTATTTACAGCACTGAATATTCTTCTTAAAACTGCAACTACTTAGGGAAATTGTCTAAAAGTACTTAGAACAAGAGTATTCTGTTAGCTTGTGAATTATGCATCCATGGTGTCAACCAATTGGAGATACAGCAGGCTACATCAATTACTATGAAATGGGAGGAGAAATGGCTCCTTAAAAGAGAGGTTCTGAAAAAGTTTACTTTTCATTAATATCTGATGTAAATATTACTTAGGAGTAATCTAGTAATCTAGAAATGACTTAAAGTATGCAGATGGATGTGTTAAGTTATATGGAAAAACTATGCCACTTTACAAACACGTGAGCATCTGCAGATTTTTTTATCCAGTGGGGTCCTTAGAACAATACCATGGATACTAAGGGACCTGCTTACTGTATGTTTTTCTTGATTCCTGACTTTTTAAAATTCTTGAGCACTTTCCTTTTAAACATGTTATATTGTTTATTTGTATTTAATTGTTGTACATATTTATGGTGTACTATGCTTCTCAAAAAAAGAAAATGAAGAAGCTGGCAGGTGACGTGGTGGTTAAGGGCACTGGACTCCCACATGGTCAACCACCATTCGAGTCCCAGACCTGGTGGCTTCCTTTCTTACTTTTCCTTTCTCTCTCTCTCTCTCTCTCTCTCTCTCTCTTGCTCTCTCTCTCATTAAAAGTTAAATAAAATAATTCTTTAAAAAAAAGAAAAAAAGGATCTGAGTCCTATCCTAATTTTTCAATAAAAGTTGGACATTTGTTTTAATTTTAATTTGTTTTGCTTATTCTCTGTTTCCTTTTGTGTGACATATGCCAACACTCCATTGTAGATATGAAAATTTATTGTCATGGGTATGACTAGCTGTCTAAAATAAATGTTGGGGTGGTAGATCATAGACTTGTTCACACACTCTCATGCAGTTTTGTTGCTTTTAATGACTGTAGTAAAATTCTACAATAGATCACACTTTGATTTTTTTTTTCCTACTCCTCTCTAGACATAGAGATCTTCTTCAAAGTAAAGCCAGTCTTCCTAGAGAGCTATCCAAATTTTCTTCCTGCTCTTCAGAGGAGCAAATTAGCCAGAATTGGCAGAATTTCCTGAACTCCTCTGGACCTGAATAACAGCATAAGCCTCTAGAGACACAATGCTCAGAGAGTGCCTCATGTAAAAGTACAAGGAAAATTTACAGTCTGAAAATCCCCCGTAGGATTGGGGAATATGTCATAGGACAACGGGCTTAGTGTTATTTGGTGAATAACTTTTAAGGAATGCTTCTGGGAAAACAATTTCTCATAATGTTTTTAAAAAAACTGAATTTTCTCTCAGTTTATATTTGGCTTCAAGGCATAATCATAAAAGGCATGACTTCTATGGAATAGATAGATATAAATAGAAAGGTGGATAGATTTAGGTATTTAGATTTAAATATTTAAAAATTCTCTTGTTTACTTTTCAGTATAATTAGATGGTTAGGGAGTCGCATCAGCATTTAAAATCCTAAGTCACTTTCTTGTGGAATGAATAGATATTTTTCTGTGATTCAAAAATAGTTTTCAGGGGCATTTGCATATTCGTTCTCCTTGTGAAATAGTAAAATTTTGCTCCTGGAAATACAATGAACGTAATCCTGATGAAATTTTCAGATAAATAACCCAGATTTGTATGAGCTTCTTGTTTATGTTCTAAAACTTTTTTTCTGTTGTAAATGCTAGGGAAGAGTTAGAAAACTGTGTAAATAAGCAAGGCAAATGTGTGACCAAGACGATCTCTTTAGCAACATATAGCTACCTTGAAGATCATTTGCAACTGATTTGCACTGATTTGCAGGTAATCACTACTTACAATGCTGGTCAAAGGCTCATTTAACCTATTTCTATTTATTCTATTGTTTTAAGGCTGTGAATTTAGATATGGTCTAACAAGATTTATGAAAGTAAAAAACTGTTTCACAATGTTTAGTTTTATTGTATATTATATGGAACGTTTAGATTTTTATATAATAAAAAATAAGAAAATTTTTCAGTTGTCACTGACCTTTCTGACTCCAGCATTTAGAGAAAGTCCCATCATTCAAAACAGCAATCTTCTAAAATTACCTGGATTCACAGGAATCAAGTAAACTAAGTTTTTAATGTCACATGCTGAGGTCATGTATACATATATACACATATACACACATATGTGTATATATTAATATATGTGTATATATGTACTTTTTATACATAAATACATATATACACACATATATATGGGGTGTGTGTATGTGTGTATATATATATATATATATATATTTACACACACTAATACTTTATATATATAAGGTACAAGCATTTGAAAACTGTATGTTTTCACCACCTAAAATAATTTTAAATGTCACTAGTAATACAGCTACACAATTATAAAAAAGCTGAAATTGTTATTCATATTATTGCATTGAAGATTTCTGTATTATTAAAAATCAGTCTTTGTGGGGTTCAGATATGGTTTCCACGCTTACTCTGAAAGGTATAAAGTTCATCTGAATTCTACCTACTTCCTTGCCAGTGAAGAGAATAAATATGCAAATGAATTCTGATTATGTAGAATATAATATATACGAATTGGTAAATAACATATTATGCAACAGAAATATCTGAGTAATTCCTGAGCATAAAATTAGTCTCACAGTTGCATTGGATAACAGCATAATTTATTAACGTTTGGTGCCTATAATTCATTGTAGCAGAACACATAAATTATACAGATTCAGATTAGCTGTGCATTTTATTTAGGTGTTTTAAAAATTCAAACCATTAATAACAATTCTAATTTTAATTTATATCAATTACATTAATTTTTTAAATGTCTTTTTATATTTTATCATTTTCAAATTTATATCTAATTATTGTACATATTTGTGGAGTATAACATTTTTTTTAACATTATTCCCATAGGGCACACACACTAGCTTGAGAGAGACAAAGAGAGAAATAGAGAGGGAAAGTGAGAAATCACTGCCCAGGTGGGAGGACCATGCTGCAACCTCTCTTCTCAATTCTCACTTCAATATTTTGGTCATGCACATACACACACACACACACCCCTGCTGTGATCTTCAAGCTGCCAGGTCCCAGACTCGAACCATGGTCAACTGTGAGAGACTCCAGTGCCTTAACCACCATGCCACCTGCTGGTCCCGGCCCCTAGAATATGTATTTTCACATCACATCAAGGATGTTACCAGATTAATTATCTTCAACGAAGAACATTTCATTATGTTGTATACCTTTGATATGCATTCTACTAGGTCTTTTTCCATAAAAGAGTAGTAGGAAATCTTTTTTGAAAATAGAATTTTTAAATCATATTTTCTAAATAATAAAATGTATTCTTAGTATTATTAAGACAGAATATATGGAAAAGTACAAAGAAAAAATATTAGAGACATCAGCTATAATTTCCAAATATAATTAGTATATTGATTTGTAATTTTGTTGAATTGCCATAATTTACTGATAGTTCATTCTTACATAACAGCAATGATATTATAAATATTTTACTCATATTTATTCTTTCCTCAGTTATTCAATTATTTGTGTATAGCATGAAACATACAGACAGTCAGAGAAACGTATCAGAATTCATTCTTCTGGGTCTTTCCTCTGTCCGGAACCTACAGATATTTTGCTTCATGTTCTTCCTCTTGTGTTATGTTGCCATCCTGGTGGGAAACCTTCTGATCCTAATCTCCATCAGATGCAGTGCTCTTTTTAACCAACCAATGTACTATTTCCTCAGCCATTTATCCTCCATGTACATCTGCTATACCTCCTGCATGACACCCAAACTGATTGGTGACCTACTTACAGGAAGAAAAATGATCTCCTATAATGATTGCATGTTACAGGTCTTTTCCATGCACTTCTTTGGAATGATTGAAATCTTCATTCTTACAGTCATGGCCTTTGATCGCTGTGTTGCCATCTGCAAACCTCTCCACTACATGATTATCATGAACAGGACAAGATGCAATATTTTAGTCTTGACTGCTTGGGCTGGTGGGGCTTTCCATTCTTTTTCCCAGTTTTCTCTGATAATCTGGTTACCCTTCTGTGGCTCCAGTGAAATTGATCATTACTACTGCGATATTTTTCCTTTGCTGAAAGTCGCCTGTGTTGACACCTACATTATTGGCATCCTTGTGGTTGCCAATTCAGGAGTGGTTGCCTTAGTAACCTTTGTTCTCTTGTTTGGGTCTTATATTATTATACTGTGCACCTTAAGAAATCACTCAGCAGAGGGAAAGCGCAAAGCCCTGTCTACTTGTGGGTCTCATATCACTGTGGTCATTTTATTTTTGGGACCTTCAATCTTTGCATACCTTAGGCCTCCTACTACTTTCTCTGAGGACAAAATATTTGCATTATTTTACACCATCATTGCTCCTATGTTTAATCCCATAATCTACACTCTGAGAAATACTGAGATGAAAAAGGCTGTGAGAAAGGTTTGGTGTCAAAAAATATTTTTTAGGACAAGAACATAATTAATTTGTCCTAATCCATATGCTAACAACTTTATGAAGTAGTAAGTATGGAATTGTTTCCAACGAGTACCATTAGGTTTCAGATCCTTGATTTTAAACTGCTCACTTATAAATGCCAGAGATAAATTTGCTTCAGACTAAAAGCCTGAAAACAGGTTAGGATTCTGTCTAAACAGTAGATAGATACTAAAAACTCAAAAACCAAATACGGACACAGCTAAAATCTACTAACAGTTGAACTATAGTTTTCTTCTGAAAATTTTTTTCCCCTGTACATTCCCCCTTTTACCAAAGAGAAGCATCAACTAATTTATTTGCAAAAATATAAGTTTAGTCTCAATTTAGTCTGTTATTTGCACAAAGCGCAATTAAGGATAATAATTCATTTAGTTGGCTTTGCTGGACCCTTTTATAAGGAATGTCAGATTAGACTCTAAAAAGGTTCCCAAGTCAGTAATTCACCATCTAACTGTGCCTTTAAGTACCTATACTTGGAAGATTTTGGTCCTATCAGGAAGTGACATCGTTTACTTGCCAGACATAACTGTTTTTGGTACCAAGTAGTCTTTCCAAGAGCTTCTGTTGGCTTTCTTGAGATGAACCTTAGTTCCTTAGCTTTCTGGACACGTCTTCAGATATGACATTCCAGTGAAAGCCCTGACAATAACCAGTGTTTCCAATTCCTGATGCAAGGCAGCAGGTATTATTGAATTTATGCAAATAGCCATACTCCCACAACATAAGAATACTCATAAATACTTTCTCATTTCAGAGGGGTCAGGAAGGGAGAAAAATTTATGTTTCAATTTGGTTTAAAAAAAATTAACAAATTGTTGGAGCTATCACAGTTCAAAAGGAAACAAAAATCCTTAAATCTAGAGAACAAAGCATAGAAAAAAATCAGTAATATTTTAGTCAAAAGTCATGAAGTTCTATTTCACCAATTTAGTCTCATGTAGTTAATCTCACTTCTGTTGAGTTTGCAGTTACTGTGGTCCAATCTTTCTGTTTAAATCCTAGAAGTTCAGAAATATGATCTCAACGTTATCAAAAACCTATATTCAAGAGTACTTATCAGAGCTCTTTTAGTAATTTCCTTTAAAAAAGCACTTATTTTCTTGAAATTGAAAAATAATAATAATAGCAAACTAAAAAGACAATGTTGGAGAAAAGTGAGCAGTAGGGGAGGGAATCAAAGTGGAAAAAGGAGAAGAATATTTAATGAATACAAAAATGAAAAATTGTCTGCTGAGTCATAATGTGTATGATAATATCTTTGACTGGACCAATATGCAGAGTATTTAAGGTGGAAAAAAATTTTTTTTATGAATGAATACAAATTTGTTTTTAAAAAATTTTTAAAAAGAGAAAAATAATTAGTGAGGTGAGAAAAAGGAAACCAAGAGGAAAAAGAAGGAAGCAAACTATTTAAGGACACAAAAATGGAAAATTATCTATTGATGTTAATATGTATGGTAATATTGTTGATTAAACCAATATATAGTATATTCAGGATGGGAAAATTTATTTGGTATGTTGTAATGATATACAGTGAATGTAAAAATGTAATCATAAATGAAATTTTAAAATAAAATGAAATTTTAAAATTAATTAATTAATTAAATGCCAGAGAGCATGAATTGAAGAATTTTCAGCAAAATGATCATTTCACTGATGAGGCTGAGATCAGATAGGAGCATTTGTACATAAAATATTCTGGGCTAAAACAATAGTGGTTACATTTTATATAAAAGCAATTTTGAGACTGAATGTCAATGTTTTTAATCATTTGCAGGTTGAATTAATACATGGAGACTGAATAACTTTTGGCAGTTTGTAGAAATTGAGTAGACTTAAATGGTTTTCAGGAATTTCTTGTTAAAGAGATTTTTGCCTGAGGGTGCATGCGCTCACCAGAGAGGGAAAAGTTGAGAGGGAAAGTGAGAAGTCACGCCTCAGTGGGAATGGCCACACTACAATCCCTTCTCATCCATTTTCCTCTCAGGATCTTGGGTGCACACACACACACACACACACACACACACACTCACACATACACACCTGGCATGATTTTGAAGGCACTGCGTTCAGGACTGTAGAAGTCCAGCAATATAACTATTATGCCATTTGCTAGCCCTAAGAAACTAATTTTTGAGTATTATTTTCTGATAATACAACTAAATCTTATATGATGATAGTCTATCATAAACTATATAATAAAAGTTCCACACAGAAGTTTGTTTAAAACATAAAAAAAAAAAGAGGTGGCCATACTCATGACATAATATTGCCATAGACAGGGATAAAGATTTAAATGGTTGGTGGCAATTTATGTATCTGCTATGGTATTTATTATGTTTCATATACTCAGAAGGTGAAAAGACAGGATGATAAAATTAATAGTGCTTATCCCTTTCCTGTAAAGCCCGGTTGGGAAGATTCATGTGTGAATTGTGTGCTGGGTGTTTGCTTCTCAACAGTTTGATTAGTTGACATGTAAATATTTTCTCAAAAATATTTAAAACCATATGGTCTCTTTTATAGTCACAAACAAAATTATTACAAATATTTTGAAAGTTATCTTTAAAATTCAGGGTTTCTTTTAGAAATTTTGAAATTTGTTTATTAACTCTCAAGAACTATGGAACATGATCAAAAGTTTTATGATATGTAAAGTAAATGTTTGTAAGAAAATGTAAATAAATCATCTAAAAAAAGATTTAGCATTTACAAAGAAACTATGCAAATCAGCTTGTCCTGATACATGTACATGAGAAATAAAATCATTCATCATACTAGTGGACAGAGGATGGCGTCAAAAACATGATTTAAAAACTAAATTTCCCTTGAACATAGTTCTTCTTGTGTATAATTTTCTTTTCTTCATGTGAGAAGAAAACAACCAAAACACAGGTATTTATGATTAAAACAAAACCTATTATCATGAAAATGGAAAAAAAAACACATTATTTCTAGACACTATAAAAAATAGATTTCTGGTGCTGGCAAGTGGCATGGTGGTTAAAGGCATTGGACTCCCACATGGCTGACCATGGTTCAAGTCTCGGAACTGGTGGCTTGCTTTCTCATTTTCTCTCTCTCTCTCTCTGTCTCTCTCTGATCAAACTGGAAAATAATAATGATAATAATAATTAATGAAATAAAAATAAAATAATTCTTAACAAAAAAATAGATTTCTGAGACATACTTCTTTTTTTCGGGGGGGAGAGGATTTTGCTATAGGGTGCATGTGCTCGCCAGAAAGGCAGAAAGAGACAGAGAGACAGAAAGCAAGAAATCACCCCCCAGGATGGCCACACCTCAGTCCCTTCTCCTCCATTCTCCTCTCGGGATTTTGAGCACGCATGCACATGCGCCCAGTGTGAGTTTAAGCACCAGGTCTGGGACTCGAACTGTGGTCGACTACATGGGAGTCCAGCTACATAGACATTACGCTAACTGCTGGTCCCTAAGACATACTTCTAATGGAATAAAGGAAAATGTAAATCAATGGAATGTAAGTGAATAGTATCTCTGTGGAGAAGAACAGACAAATACAAGAAGGTAGTTAAGTTATCATAGTATTGTAACAAGGGAGATGTTTAAAAATGAAGATTATTTGAAAACTTAAAATACAATTAATATTAAAAAAATTTAATTTCAACAGTAAAATAATGTGAAGAGGAGGAAAGGTTAGAAAAAACAATATGGAAAGCAGATTATATTGAATAAAGATTATATAATTTACAATTCAGTGAAACTACTAATAAAGAAATAAATATTGCACTGGTTTAGACCTCTTCTCTAATACTAAGTATCAGAAGACAATGTCAACTTATCAATATCACTTAAATGTGAAATGATAGGGTTAAGGTGCTGGACTCCTATGTGGTAGACCACAGTTCTAGTCCTGGATCCAGTGGCTTGAAACTCATGCCTAGTGTGTGTGCATGCATGCCCAAAATCTTGAGAGGAGAATGGAGGAGAAGGAACTGCTGCATGGCCATCCCCTCTGGAGAGGGATTTCTTGCTTTCTGTTTCTTTGTCTCTCTCTGTCTCTCCACTGAGCAAACATGCTCTGTAGCAAAAATCTCTCAGTTATTATTACTTTAGTCAGCAAATATTTGTGAGAAAATTATACTACTATTTTCATATGTTTTTCTGGACATAGATTTTTACTAATGATGTTTTTTCCTCATCATTTTCTTGGAGAAATAATTTAAAGAGAAGACAACATGTTACTTCAAATATAATTAAACAATTAGAGTCCCAATCTACCAAAATCAAGGTTTAACTGGGTAGGACAGGCAGATGAGCAGAAACCTTTGGAACTGCTCAGATTCTATTCCCACTCTACCTGTCCAAACTATGTTTTATTAATAAACTCAGCTAATCTATTTTACTAATACATGACAGCAACCAAAAGAAAAAAATCTAGAAACCTTTTTTTTTTAAGATTTAGTACTATGATGACTCTAAAATTACCTAGAAGTATATACATACAGTGTTAACTGATAAGCTTTGCTAATATATTCATATATACCTTAATAGCCTTTCTTTCTAGCTAAGTGATTAGGATACTTCATATACATTTAAAATGTACGCTTTTTGAAAGCCAGGTTTTAATGATATATTTATATATTTTCTCTTTGGAGAAAAGAGAATACAAGGTAGTAAATATTCCCCTAGGTCAAGAAGTAAGTGTTGCAAGTTCCAGGTTCAGGGAGAGACCTGAAGGCAGAGCTTTAAGAATGTCTACAAGGTCAGAGAATAGGAAGGTCAAAGAGGATCCCATGGTAGAAGTTCTGTGCTAAGAGGAGCAATCAGGCTAGCTAGTGTTCTGGTGCTTAAGACATCTGGATCCTACATGGCTGACTGTGTAGTTTGTAGTTCAAGTCCCATTGACAACTTGAAGAACATATTGGGTGCATGTTCAGTAAAACTAATATGCCTCTAGCTACATTGATAAGAAGTAAAATAAGACATAAATTACCAATATT